TATATTAAAAATTGTTTATTTCATCTTTACATGCTCACTTTGGAGGCTGGTTGGCTGCATGTGATGCTTTAATGCATGTGATGCTTTAATGTGACAGCGTGATGCTGTTAGTGAGCTTCTATGCGCTAGCTGATGTTTGGCTGTGTAGCCGCGTGATGCGGTTCCAGTCAATACCCACTAATTGACCCTTGCTCACCATAGAGTCTCTTGTAGCTCAGTGGTTAGAGCATCCGACTAGATCACGGAGGGTCGTGGGTTCAAATCCCATCTGGAAACTCGATTTTTAAAAATTGTTTATTTCATCTAGTAATTATTATTGATCCAATTTACACTTTCATGTTCATGAAGACTGTTCATGCCCGCAAATAGCAGGAGCTAGTTGAGGCGGGCAAGAATTAGAGGTACAGCAGTGGTGATAGAGTGCAGATAAAGCTTAAACATAAATTAATAACATTTCCAGAAAAAGACAGCCACTTACAACTCGTATATAAAACTGCATCATTAAACATAAGAAAATAGTAACACTACAATGTAGAATATAAATTATAACGCCAGTTTATGATTAGTAATTTTTTTAAATAGAAGGGGTGATTCAACATAGTAATCCTCAGCCTCTAGGAACAAAAATAACATGTCCTTAAAGAGTTTTTTGAAAGCTCTCTTCAGGAGTTGTCTAAGAGCATTGCAAATGGAGTTCCAAAGTTTAGCTCCAAAGCTAGCAAAAGAGCCCTGGCTTTGATTCAGTCTCGATGGATTAATATAAAAATTGCCGAAAGAAGAAAACCTCGTATCATGATTATGCTTTTCAGTAGCTTTAATGAAAAGATTACAAATGTTAGTAGGTACAGTTAGACATGAGACGTCAAACATAATTGAGGAAACTGATTCAATGTATAACATATTTATGGGGAGGATTTTTAGTTATCATTTTTAATATTAGATATCAAGGTGCTAAGGTTTGGAATGCAATCAGTGATGACATTAAGCTAGCTTCTATCACTTAAACAATTTAAGAAAAAGTTAAAATCAAGTATTCTTGCAAGTTACTAACTGACTTAATTATACCATACATTTTCTTTCTTCCGTTAGTTAATCTGCCTACATATACTGTATTATTTTTCCTGCTTATTTTTGCTAATTTGTATTTTTAGCCTGTAACTAGTTTTTGTTTGCATGTTTCTGTGTTTGTTGTATGTGTTTTAAGAAGTCTTAAGTACCTGTGACACCATTAGTCATTACAGTATTTAAAATCCTAAGGATGGCTGCTCAATTCTATTAGCCTGCATGGTGGTTATTTTGGGCAGCCATGCACTTTATTTGTTTTATTACTTTTTTGTAACGTAAATTTAATTTTATTCAGGGTGCAAATAAGTTAGTTAGCACATGCACTTTAATTAGCTTATTCAGTGGGCCACAATTCACTGTATGGCTCACTAAATTCAAAGGTTTGTTTGAAATGAAATCTTCCCCCTCCATCATAGATATTTTACTAACCTCTTTCTTAGTCTGTACTCTAAGTTATGGAACCTTATTCTTATGCTTGTATTAAACTCAAAACTTGTAGAACTTACAGTACAGACCTTGAACTTCGTTAGAGGTATGTATACTGACTTCAATAACTCATGCAGCATAATATATTTCTGATTCTATTAAGATTAATTAAAACAAGATTCAGAGGCAGAAGCACAAAAAAGCAAGAAATCCACAAGATTGGATTCTTAGTTCAGTTCATTATAATGAAACAAGACAAAAAGTCAACTATATTTTTAAACACAAGCTACTATGAACTATAGGTGTTATGCAATAATTAAACAGATAATTATAAGTCCAGTGCAAAAAAAAAAAA